GAAGTAGACTGCGTTTTTATATGTATATTTTGGCACAGTCAACTTAAAAAAAATGATTTGACTGCCTTCCTGATCGAATTTTGATTTGAAATTTGGTATGGACAAACTAGACTTGGTGAGGAACTTTCTCAAAAAATGTCATCAAAAAATTCCACACACACACACACACACACTCACTCACTCACACACACACACACACACTCACTCACTCACTCACTCACTCACACACACACACACTCACTCGCTCGCTCGCTCGCTCACTCACTCACTCACTCACTCACTCACTCACTCACTCACTCACTCACTCACTCACTCACTCACTCACTCACTCACTCACTCACTCACTCACTCACTCACTCACTCACTCACTCACTCACTCACTCACTCACTCACTCACTCACTCACTCACTCACTCACTCACTCACTCACTCACTCACTCACTCACTCACTCACTCACTCACTCACTCACTCACTCACTCACTCACTCACTCACTCACTCACTCACTCACTCACTCACTCACTCACTCACTCACTCACTCACTCACTCACTCACTCACTCACTCACTCACTCACTCACTCACTCACTCACTCACTCACTCACTCACTCACTCACTCACTCACTCACTCACTCACTCACTCACTCACTCACTCACTCACTCACTCACTCACTCACTCACTCACTCACTCACTCACTCACTCACTCACTCACTCACTCACTCACTCACTCACTCACTCACTCACTCACTCACTCACTCACTCACTCACTCACTCACTCACTCACTCACTCACTCACTCACTCACTCACTCACTCACTCACTCACTCACTCACTCACTCACTCACTCACTCACTCACTCACTCGCTCGCTCGCTCAGAGAGAGAGAGAGAGAGAGAGAGAGAGAGAGAGAGAGAGAGAGAGAGAGAGAGAGAGAGAGAGAGAGAGAATCTTCATGTCAGGCCGGCCTGACGGGATGCTCCGTCCAGCCGAGGGCATTTCGGGCACTTCCCGGTGGAAATTTTTGATGAAATGTTTTGAGCATGTTCTTTATGAAGTCTAGTTTATCCATACCAAATTTCAGATAAAATTTCAATCAGGAAGACACTCAAATAATTTCTTGAAGTTAACTGGGCAGTTCATACATATAAACTGCCCAGTTAACTTCAAGAAATTATTTTAATACCTTACCGATTGAATTGTTAGCTGAAATGTGGTATGGATAAACTAGACTTCATGAAAAACATGCTCAAAAAATTTCATCAAAAAATTCCACCGGGAAGTGCCCGAAATTCCCTCGGCTGGACGGAGTATCGCGTCAGGCCGGCCTGTTATGAAGACTACTCTCTCTCTCTCTCTCTCTCTCTCTCTATATATATATATATATATATATATATATATATATATATATATATATATATATATATATATATATATATATATATATATATATATATATATATATATATGAGTTTGGTTCAAATAAGAACACCATCTAATGTGATAAATAAGAAACAATCCTAGCCATTAGATCAATTGGTTTTTTCAGCTTCTCACGTGTGCATAAGCAGGTCAAGATGGTCATTCTAACTTTTCTTCCCTTTTGTACGTGAGTATCTTTCCTTTCATGTTTCTTTCCATTAAAATTTTGTCAATTAATTAAACGTTTTATTCCCTTCCTTTTTAGTTACGAATGCCATTCCATGTACGTGAATTCGAGTTGCTCGAGTTTGTGACTATCTCTTCCTCCCCAAAAATACCGAAGCTCCATTAATGAATAAAGGTTCGTTTTTCTTTACCTGTTTTTGTTTGTTGTACATATTTTTTCTTTTGCTTTTACTTTTCGTTTTGTTTTTCTGATTATCTCCAATAATGATTTGTTGCTCTTTTTCCTTTTTGTTTCGTTTTTTTTTAATTTTCTTGGACAAGCTTCATGGTTTTTTGTTTCGTTTCGTTAAATGCTTTTTAGTTACGGTGATTATGTTCGTTCATGTTGATTTCATGTAGAAGCTTTACAAATATCTCCTGGATCAACAAAATATTGGATCCCGGAATGTGATGAGACATATAACCCAAGGTTGGCATGATATTCAAAACTCTTGAGGACAGTATTGAGTTTTATAGGCAATCAGCCTGAAACCATGCATTGGCTTCGACTCTGATAAATTATACGGAGTATAGAATAACAAGCTCGAAGGAATATGAAGCAATATGTAATATTTTGTATTGATCGTATGACACCAAAGGCGTTCATATCGTAAACATATATACATGCATGTGGTAGTGCTAAATGGCAGATTATTATAAAAGGAATAAATTACATATGGAAAGAATAATAAAGGTCAAGCAAGATATTTTCTATAATGATAGTAATGCATCACGTAACGTGCTCCACCGAGAATATCCTTGTTAACAGTTTCCTTATGAAGAAATATATGGGAATATTCGGTCATGTAATACTCCCCCTCAAGTTGGAGTGTGAAGGTCTCGAATACCCAACTTGCCACGCAGGAATTGAAAGCGATCAGCTCCGAGTGCCTTAGTAAAAATGTCAGCTATCTGATGTTCAGTAGAAATGGGTAAAGGCTGAATCTCTTGACTAGTGACGCGTTCACGGACAAAATAACAATCCATCTCAACATGTTTGGTGCGCTCGTGATAAACAGGATTGAGAGCAATATGACGGGCAGCTTGGTTGTCACAAAACAGTGATGTAGGTGTAGTAAAAGAAATGCCAAAGTCACGTAGAAGCCATCGTAACCAGATGAGTTCACTGACGGTGGTGGCCATAGACCTGTACTCGGCTTCAGCGGAAGAGCGAGACACAACACTCTGTTTCTTGGTACGCCAAGAAATGGGAGAACCGCCCAAGGTGATAAAATAGCCAGAACTGGAACGGCGAGTGAAAGAACATCCCGCCCAATCTGCATCACAATAGCCCACCAAATTGAAATCATTGTTTGAGGGGAGAAAAATGCCCATGCCGGGGGAAGCCTTGAGGTATCGAAGAACACGATGCGCAGCATCTAAATGGGACTGGTGAGGTTGAGAAATAAACTGGCTCAACTGATTAACAGCGAATACAATGTCCGGGCGTGTTACCGTGAGGTACAATAACCGGCCAATTAATCGCCTATACATGGAGGCATCAATGAGGGGAGTGTCATCATTGGGACGTAGCCGGAGATTCTGCTCCATAGGGAAAAGACTTGGTCGACTCCCTTGCATGCCAGTCTCTTCCAGGATGTCCAACGTATATTTACGTTGACTAAGAATAAACCCAGCAGGGGAGCGAGCTACCTCGATGCCAAGGAAGTATTTGAGTGGCCCCAGGTCTTTGATAGTAAACTTATTGTGAAGATACTGCTTAACGTGAGTGATATGTGTCAAATTAGTCCCGGCAAGCAAAACATCATCAACATAAATGAGAGCAGCAGTATAAACATCATGATGATGATAAATAAAGAGGGAATGATCAGCCCGGGATTCCTGGAAGCCAATGAGAGAGAGGGCATGAGTGAACTTATGATACCAATTGCGTGACGCCTGCCGAAGACCGTAGAGAGATTTTTTAAGCTTGCAAACACGCTGATCACCAGGTTTTGCAAACCCCTGAGGAATACGCATGTAAACGTCTTCGTTAAGGTCGCCATGTAAGAAAGCGTTGTTGACGTCAAGTTGATGAACAAGCCAATTATTTTTTGCCGCAACTGCAAGTAAGCATCGGACAGTGACAAGTTTGGCTACTGGGGCAAATGTCTCATGAAAATCAACACCCTCAATCTGAGTGAAACCCTTGGCAACAAGGCGAGCTTTATAACGTTCCACGTCTCCATTGGGTCTATATTTGATTTTGTACACCCACTTGGAATCCACCACTTTCTTTCCGGATGGTAATTGAACCAAGTCCCACGTACCATTTTCTTCAAGTGCTTGGATTTCCTTTTGCATAGCCTCTCTCCATAGAGGGTCTTTAACCGCTTGAAAAAAATATTTGGGCTCATCACGAGACGTGATGGCCGCTAAGAAAGCACGGTGAGCGGGAGAAAATTTATCATATGCAAGGTATTGTGTAAGAGGGTAACTTACCGTCGAGTTGGCCGAAGGAGCGGTAGATTGGAGGCCATCAAGCGAAGGTGGCAATGTTAGGTCAAAGTCATCCAAGTGTTTGGGCCGTCGACGTGGGCGATCACTCCTCCGGATGATGGCATCGGGTGGTGCAGTGGCAGATTCCTCATGGTGATCATGATGTGGAGTTGATGACTCATCATTGAAGGTTGGCGGAACATTACTAGTTGGTGCGGCACCTGGAGAGTCTTGTTGCATGGTGGGAGTTGACTGCCTAATTACTGGCCGTGTAAAAAAAGGAGTTGGTGGAGTGGGATCCTCACCCAAAATACTTTCATACACCATGCGAATATGCTGGTCAAAATCGGCTGCAGGGAATACCCTTTTGAAAGGGAAAATGTCTTCCATAAAAGTAACGTCTCTAGAATTGTACATTTGTCTAGTATTCAGATCAAAAACTCTGTATGCCTTTTGTCCGTTCGGGTAACCCACGAAAATGCATGGACTCCCCCTCTCTTCAAACTTGTCCTTTCTTTTATTATTGTGAGCGTAAGCAAGACATCCAAAGCTCCGAAGGTGCATGTAATCGGGTACTTTGTGAAATAATAGCTCATATGGGCTCTTATTAGAGATTAGGGGTGTAGGCAACCGGTTAATAATGTGAACCGCCGTTAGGATGCACTCACCCCAAAACTCTATCGGTAGACCGGACTGGAATCTCAAAGCTCTAGCCACATCAAGAATGTGTCTATGCTTACGTTCAACGACACCATTTTGCTGAGGAGTGTCGGTACAAGATGTCTCCAGTATAATCCCATGATCGCTGTAAAATTCTAATAATGCATGAGTTTGAAATTCCATACCATTATCGGTCCGAATGCGTTTTATGGGGTGTCCAAATTGCGTTCTCACCATATTGTAAAAATGTATTAATAAATTCCCCACATCAGATTTATTTTTCATAAGATAAACCCAAACACCTCGGGTAAAGTCGTCAACAATTGAAAGAAAATAACGGGCGCCAGTGAAGGAACTACACCTGTAGCCTCCCCAGATGTCACAATGAATTAAATCAAAACTGTGCTTTGTTTTAATAGCGCTACGAAAAAAAGGCAGACGAGTTTGTTTCGCCCGAATACAAGAATCACAAAAATTAGAGTGTCTTTGGAAGCCTTGCAAGAGAGTGATGTGACGGAGTCTGTCATCAGGGGCGTGACCAAGACGATGATGCCATACCTCAGCCCGCGTTGATACCAACATTGCCACCCGCTCATCAGTGAATGGCTCCAAATAGTATAGGCCGTTGTAAAATCTACCTACTCCAATCGGCTTCCTCGAGGGTAAGGCCTGCAATACACAAAAATCCCGGGAAAAAATAAGTGTACAATTATGCTCACTAGTGAGGCGGCTAACTGATAATAAATTGCACCGGAAAGATGGTATATATAAAACACGGGAAAGTGTTATTCCATTAGGTAGGCTAATACTACCAATAGAGTGCACCGGGACAACTTCACCGTTAGGTATTCGGACGGGGGACTCCGACGGGTTTGCCATGATGTCGGTAAGAAGTGTTCTATCACACGTGATATGTTCCGTCGCACCCGAGTCTAGTATCCACGTTGGTTGGAAATTCACGTTACCTGCCATGTTCACTTGCTTGGGAGTTGTTTCAGAATTGGACCCCTTTGAAAATTCTTCACGCACGATCTGTACCAAACGTTGGAGCTGGTCGTTTGATAAACCAGAGAAATGGTTTTCAACTTGGTCAACGTGCGCCGCACGAGGTGGCCCTACAGTCCGGTTTTGTGAATTTTTGGAGCGATCCTGAGATCAAAGCAAGCGACTGTCACCAGATCGACCCCCTTGGGATTTTCCTTCTCTGCTGCGGACATTCCACCCAGCAGGATACCCAATGATCTCGAAGCACGTGTCCTGGGTGTGATTTGTTCTGCCGCAATGTGAACAGTGTCGTCCGTCTTTTCCGCCTATTTTCCGATTAGCTTCAGGGATTAATTTTGCTTGGGCTTGGAAAGCAGATGCTTCGATCCCTGTCTTGCGTGAGGTGGCAATTAGCCGATGCTGTTCTCCTTCAGATATCAAATGGTACGCAGTTGTCAGGCTTGGTAGCGGACGTGTTGCTAGAATATGGCTCTTGAGTTGACCATAATAGTCATCCAGGCCCATAAGAAAATCGTAAAGATGGTCTTTGTCACGAGCTTCATTAATCTGCTTTGTAATGTTGCACATGCATTTGCCGCATGAACAACTTGGAGTTTTACAAAGAGATGTCATTTCATCCCATATACGGCGTAGCCGGCTAAAGTAGGCCGATATAGACTGGCCGTCTTGTCGAGTCTCGCCAAGTAACGTGCGTAGCTCGTAGACACGGGGTGCACTTTCCTTGCCGAAGCGTTCCTCTAGATCTTCCCAAATTTCTCGTGCCGTTTTGAACTTCACACTTTGCCTTAATTCAAGCTCCATACTACTATTAAGCCAACCTTTAACCATAGCATTAGCTCGTTTCCAATACGGTAGATACGGGGAGCCAGACTCTGGCATCGGAATATCACCATTGACGAATCCAAATTTGTTCTTGGCATATAAGGCATTGCTCATCTCATCGAGCCAATCTCCATAATTTCCATCTCGCAGAAGCGAAGTGACAAAAACATCTCCGGGCTTATCACCGGATTGAATGAAGTATGGGGACATGGAATCTATGACCAACGTTCGGTCATTTGGCATGTCTTCCTTATCACCAACGGCCATCTTGTATGATCGTCAGTATGAAATATGTCAGGATTTTGGCTCTGATACCATGATAAATTATACGGAGTATAGAATAACAAGCTCGAAGGAATATGAAGCAATATGTAATATTTTGTATTGATCGTATGACACCAAAGGCGTTCATATCGTAAACATATATACATGCATGTGGTAGTGCTAAATGGCAGATTATTATAAAAGGAATAAATTACATATGGAAAGAATAATAAAGGTCAAGCAAGATATTTTCTATAATGATAGTAATGCATCACGTAACGTGCTCCACCGAGAATATCCTTGTTAACAGTTTCCTTATGAAGAAATATATGGGAATATTCGGTCATGTAATAGACTCTCGTATTGGTTCTCAAACTAAAGACCACGGCCGGATGACGGAAACCGCTGTGTGGAAATATGTTGTGTGCAATAGAGCGGGTTTAAGAAATGGTGCTATAGGCAATCAGCCTGAAACCATGCATGCTCCGCCGTTTACCGTTGTAAATATTGTACACTTAGAAGTCTCACATGTTGATGTAGAGGCTCACTTTTTAACTTTTGATGCATTAACCTAACGTATCATAAATGTGTATCATAAATGTGCTTGCCTAATTGCACACTAGTTCATTTAAAAGTGCTTCCTATTATTTAGCATAGCTGATGTTATCTAAATGCACACTCCATTTATCACAAATGTGCTAGAATAAGTTCAAACAATGCATCTCAAATGTGCTTGCGTAATTCCACACTAGATAATTTTAAACAAATGATTTAACTTTCGAACAAATGATTTTACTTAAATGCACATTCCATGTGCAATCAATCTCAAACAATGCACGTCAGAGATCATCTTTTCCCACACGCATTCAAGCAAATCAACACAATTCATCTAATTTATCACACTAGATAATTTAACAAATGTACTACCTAATTTCACTTTACAATTCATCTAATTTATCCAATGCACACTAAGTAATTTTAAACTGATTTATCTAATTTAGCACATATGCTTTTATGTAAGTGCACAATTCATTATTCATAAATGTACCAAATACATTAACATCACGTATCACAATTGTGCTTGCCTAGCTAATTTCTCACTAGTTCCTATAATTTAGCACAATTGAGGTTATCTAAATGCACTCCATTTATCACAAATGTGCCAGAATAAGTTCAAACAATGTATCTCAAATGTTCTTGTGTACTACATAATTTCACTTTACTTATTACAAATGTGCTTACCCAATTGCACACTAAGTAATTTCAAACTGATTCATCTAATTTAGCACAAATGCTTTTATGTAAAAGCACAATTCATTATTCATAAATGTACCAGATACATAAACACAACGTATCACATATGTGCTTGCCTAATTGCACGCTAGTTCATTTAAAAGTGCTTCCTATTATTTAGCACAACTGATATGATCTAAATGCACACTAAATCACGTTTTACTATCGACCTTGTTTCTCTTCTCTCCATCATTTAAACTACTTACTACGGTTGAGAAGAAACTTACCAAATTAAAGTCTTATAACTTTGGTAATAACTATATCCACATCTGCTACCTTCCCTGCATACAGCTTCCATCCGTTTTTTTTTAATTATCAAATGTCCAAAGTACCCCTAACGTGACAATCTTTAAGTTGACTAGAAGATGCCATCGATTTATTTCCTTTTATAACAAAATCGGTTGCCCCTTTTCTGCACTCAATCTCACCATCCGATTTCACAAATCTACGGTTCTAAACCGTTGTTATTTATCACCTAAACTAGTGTTCTTACTTGAATCAATCCCTATATATATATATATAGGGATTGGTTCAAGTAAAAAGTAGTCTTCTCTTGAAAAGTGAGAACACATCTTGGCCTTCCATCACTTGAAAATGGATAGATTAGATGAACTTTAAACACAAGAGATGATTTCAAAAAATGTGCAAACGTTTATACTATAAAGTGGATTGTTACGCATTAAATGTGCACTCATGCGTGTCAAAAAAGATTGTAAAAATTTTCCAGCTTGTGCACTTTTTATTTTGTACTGTATTGCATTTTTGTGCTCTACGTGTGCACTTTTGGACTATGCTGATGCACATTTGTTATAATATTTTCAATAAAAGTTCTCCGTAATTACAAATATGCCACCGCGTTTCCTACCTCAAAATTGATCTATTCCGTCCATTTTTTCACATCAATGACCAAGATTAGTTCTTATTTTTCACCTAGGAAGCACTTTTTATTTGATCCATAATATATATATATATATATATATATATATAGACAACTTTTCATGTCCAGCCGGACGGACGGGAACCGCCGTCCGGCCGAGGGCATTTCGGGAAGTTCCCGGTGGAATGTTTTGATGAATTTTTTTTAGCATGTTCTTCATGAAGTCTAGTTTATCCATACCAAATTTCAGCTAAAAATTCAATCGGGAAGGCATTCAAATAATTTCTTGAATTTAACTGGGCAGTTCATACATATAAACTGCCCAGTTAACTTCAAAAAATTATTTGAATGTCTTCCCCATCGAATTTTGAGCTGAAATTTGGTATGGATAAACTAGACTTCATTAAGAACATGCTCAAAACATTTTATAAAAATATTCCATCGGGAAGTGCCTGAAATGTCCTCGGCCGGACGGCGGTTCCCGTCAGGCCGGCTGGACAAGAAAAGGACTCTATATATATACTTAATATATAAGTAGATATAATATGTGTAAATATAAGTAGATAATAAGTATATAATAAGTATTTAAGTGGATAATAAGTAGAATAGTAGATATAATATATTTAAATATAAGTAGATAATAAGTAGATATTAAGTAGATAATAAGTATTTAAGTGGATAATAAGCATATATAATATAAGTAATTAAATAGATATGATATATATTATCAGATGTAGAGAGAACTGGAGAAAATGAAGAAGATGAATAGACAGTAGGAAGAATTGGAGAATAGGTGCAGGACAATATTTAGAAAATAGGTGTATTTATAGTTTTTTTACCCCCTCCCTCCAATGGCTCGATAGCCGTTGGCAACGGATAGGAGCAACCAGGCAGCCCAGATTGGGCCCACCCTAGGCCAAGCCGGTTCACGATTATCAAGTCTCGGAGCTCGCCCAATCTAACCGGCAGTTCGGGCGTCAGGCCCGGTGTAGTGATTCTAAAATTGATCATTTAATGATTTTGTTTTGCAATAAGTATGATTTAGATAATATATTACGAAACACTTCTGAATATAATGAGATCTTGTGACCGAAGGATATCAGATTATGACTTGAAAAGCTCAAAAGAAATAGCGATATGATTTTAATTCCCAGCCTGAAGAATTGCCGGCCCGTGCTAAAAACGCCTACTATATGGGGAACTATATGGGGAATTTTTCACGAAGAGTCAAAAACGGAACAAAAAGTCTTGGTGTACACCCTGGGTTACACCCTGGGGTACACCATATATAAACCTTCTTTTTTTACTGCTTTCTTTACCCCTCTTCTCACACAGCTCTCCCATCCCCATTCCTCACGCACATTCCTTTCTCTCTCACATCCCTCTCTGTTCGTTCTCTTCTTCCCACTTTTCTCTCTGTTTTTTATTTTTTCTTTCCAGATATCATGGATAATTTTCTAGCATATTTGATGGTGGATGGAGAAGTGACCGGAAACGATGGAGGTTTGGAAGATACCCCTTACCTGCGACAGATGACGGACAACGGAAATGGAAGAAACGTGGAAGCTCTGAACGTCGAAAATGGGGGAGCTGTGAACGAAGAAGATGGAGTTGCGAACGGAAATGGTGGATCTGTGAATGAGGAAGATAGATGGTGGTCCGAACAACCCTAGGGACGAAGACTTAGGTGGGACGGGTGGCAGACCTGTGACATAAGGCGTCAACGAAGTTCCGATATTTGACGGCCGAGATGATTACAGCTGTGACGGGAAGAGAATAGCAGGGAGAACATGAACACAGATGTTGGAGGTATTTTCTTTGACATACAGACAACTTACATACTCAGTGTCGGTGTGTACCGACAACTAATGTCGTTGTGTACAGAGTAGTGTCGGTATGTATAGACAACTGAAGGAATCCTCATTGAGTTGATGCATACCTACAAAGATGAATGTTGTATCTGTGAATGAGTTAATCACTAGTGTTCAATTTACCCTTATTCAGATTTTCTAAGTGAAAAATTTATAGAGGAGTTATTTTTAATGAGTGCATTGACAATAATAAAGTGTTCAAAGTTTGTTTCAGTTTATCACCGTAATGACTTCGTCAATGAGTCATTGTAAACAGATAATACAAACAGATAGAATATATATTTCCTTAATCTCCTAGCCATATCTAAAAGTTACCGATTGGAAGTTACTAAAGGTGTATTCCACCCGAAAGTGATCTTTTTTCTTTCCCTTTGTTTATAGAGAGCAGATGCAATACTTATTTTAGAGGGATGTGGTGACAGAGGTGTGGAGATAAAAATACTTTATGCTAAGTATGAAAAAAATTCAAATGGGTGTGCTTAAAATGTATGTAACTTTCAAGAGTGACGAGGTCATGAAAAGCTATAATTTATCGTTTCTATTTTGTTTGATGTTTGTGAAGAAAGGTATCTTTATGCCAATGTATTTCTTCGTAGCACAAAAGTATATGTTAGGCAGTGAGTAATGGAAAAGAAAGGTGTATTTGATTTATATGTGCGAGAGTATGAATTTTGGTTCCTAGGTCTAGCTAGTTGGCTAACTAGTATTGGTTTCATGACTTGGTAACAATATATAACTTGGTCCGTCAACCCTTAGTTCACCGAGAAAACATTATCTTGTAAAGGTAGGCGCTTTGTTTGAGATGTGATCGCTGAGTGCTTCAAACCATCAAAATTGATTTCAGATTTCCTTTCTTTTGACTGGTAAGTTCTGTATTTGTGATTAATAAAGGAACCCTATTAAAAGGGGAAACAAGTCAAGTATTTTTGTTTGGAGAGTTTTTAAAATACCACT